CTTCGCGAACGTCGCCGCCGCACTTCAATACCAACATCGTGAATGACGTTAGCGAGAGACAAGAACGGATGGAAACAGTGCTGTGGCCTGCACGACAAGTGAAGACAGGCCATCTAAGTAAGTAAGTAAATAAGTTAATCAAAGAGACTATGGGCACCTTACATATACAAACGCTTTTAAAGAACTTGGCCTTACCTTTGATTATTGTGAGTATCTAGCATATGTTCTCACCAAGTCGGTCATGTCATTCCCGTCACACATTGTATTCGGTTCTGAACGCACTTTGTAATAAATCTTTTATCACTGCAACTTCTACGCATCAATAACTTTTGGTTGATTAGCGGTCATTCTCTGTCAAAAATCATATATCTACACTTAAACCAAAGATTTTCAAAGAAGCTTTAGCGTAATAGTGTTTGGCTGTGAATTAGACCAGAATCCGCCCTACTTAAATTTGGAGAACAAATGGGAATGGAAGTAAGAGCTCTACCTCACGATACTTTACTAAAATCAAATAACTTTTACTAATTTATAGCAAATGTTAGTGTAAATTGCTTATTGCAACAATTATCTACGTGACCAGAAGGTTGAGAATCTTGTAAAAGGTTTAAAAATGAAACGTGTCCCAGATTTTCAACTTTCCTTTCTTTAGTTACAATTACCGCTAATGGAAACAGAGCTGTAATTGTAAGTAACAACGCCTTCGTAGCGCAATAGATTTTACGTGCTACATGCTGACAGTATGGTTTCTTAAAGGGTTTGCCTTTAGAGAGCACAGTTATCCTATTGTGGAAACGCTTCAGGTAAAACTTATTAATCTTACTTTATTTAGCTTATTTTTAAGGAAATTTTGACCTGATATAATGGAGATGACCAGTGCAATAAGGATTTTCAAGAATTATATTTTGCACTTTAAACAAAAAGTCAGATATCAAATAAATGACCCTAAAGCTACGTTCACTGCAGAACTTCCTCCAATTGAGGGGTTAACCTGGGAAGTGAGGAAGTGAGAGAAATCCAAACCTTGTTTTCTGGGTGAATAGGCAATGTTCGGAGCCTTGCCAAACTGGTTTGTGCACTTTCAAGATCGGCCCTATCTACAGTGAAGGTTATTCTACCCATAAAGCAGTTTTAAAAAAATCCAAAATTGCAGATTCAGTGGATAGCCAAGAGATAACTCTCTAAGAAAGTTTCGTTCTTATCGGAATTCCATTTCTTATCGGAATTCCATTAGATGTCTAGCATAGATAGTTTATATGGAGAAAAATTTCAGCTGAATGGTTCATTTTTTCTATTTACACAATATACGACTACAACGTACCACTATGACTTGGATGAGGGAAGATTGCATTAGAACGTGCTGTCGTCGCTGCTAGAGGAGTGGTAAATGCTTCTTTTTTAGTTGCTATTGTAGCTGCGGTTATCATGACCGCGGCAGTGGTCGTCACCAGCGTTGTTGGCGTTGTCGTCGATTCAGTTGGTAAAATGGGTTTTACGCACAAGCCGGGATCATCGCAAACACCACTGTCGCAATGGCAACCACCGTACCCAGCCTCGTAGATATTGGTGTTTTCGTCAAGGTCTCTGTAAAAGAAGAAAGTGTTAGATTCTGTTAAAAAGGACATGTAAGAACTTTTCCAAAAATCAAAGGTGCTTTCTTAGACACTTTATGAAAACATGCACCCTCGGCATCTGTGTTATTCGCTTCATATCATACCGCAACAATGCGCCAACCATGGCTATATGGTGTGTGCTATCTTTTACTTCCACTAATCGTGGAAAATCACGATTACAGAACTTTTCTAGCGCCGTGAGGGAAATTATCCCAATTATTCATGCAACGCTTGGTTTTCGCTGTGCAAATTTGAGTATAATTTTGATAATAATCAGCAAGATATCCAACAGACAGAAATTCGAGAGGATCCTAATTATGATTCTAATCGTTTATCCAATTTACGTTCAAGGTGATGCAACATTTTTGACCAATTGATTTTCTAAAAAGGCCTACGACTCCAGTCAGCTAGTGGCACAACTGAAGCGACAGGGAATGTTTGATTTCATTGGAAAAAAAAGCCTGCTCTCATCTGCTTTCTTAGAATTGTTTACCAGAGCTACGGACAAAGTGCTTAATTTAGGCTTAAGGTTAAACCTAAGTCTGTCTTTTAGAGATACTGGAGGAGGATTTCTACTTTTACAAAGGTAGTAGTAGAAATAGTCAAAGGAGGACGTTGTGCTCAAGCCTTGGAAGAAATCCAAGAAGTAGATCTACGCGTACATTGTAGGAAAA